CGAAGGGAGACACACGCGAAACCAGCAACAGGGTAGGTGGGCAGATCCTCATAGAGCGAGCCATCAATGTAGACATCACCAGTGAGGTTCTGGGGGTCACCTTCCCAACGTAGGCACGGTTGCTCAGCCCACTGCGGAAGGTCAGACGGCACGCGAGGCTTGCCGAGGATCACCCGCTCAATGAGTAGCTCAGCCAATCGATTGTGCACGGCGTGCTGCGACAGGATCTGCACACGTTCGGGGACGGGCGCAACAAGCTCAGGGATGCGCGAGCACCTGGCGCGCTTGTGCACCAAAGTGCCGTCACCATCCCGACAGACAAGGCACTCGGGCGAAGGGACCCAACCCTGAGCATGCTGTCTGGCCTGCGTCCACTGACCCCCGATCGCCACCGACTTCAAATACGCCCCCTCAGGGGCGGACAGTCTACGCGAATAACAAAGAGCACGCAGGGGCTCAAACCAGATACCTTCCAAAAACTCAGGCGCCTCGAAGTGCTCGGAAACGTTTGCCATCTGCCACGGCACAACGGCACGCCCGACAAGGGACTCGACAGATCTGGGACACAGCTCCAGAGGGTTGATCATCTGGCCATTCGGGAAAGCCAAGCCCGAATGCTGCTGCAATCAATGCCCACACGGTTTAACGCGGCCCACACGGCCGAGAAGGGCCCTTTGATGGCCTGCGAAGGTGAGTTGTGGGGCCCCAGCCTAGCAGCAGCAGCAGCAATACCTTTCTCCAGCGTCCGCAGCGGCATGAGGTTCCTCAAGAGCACATGCATGAATGCCTTGACGGGCTCCAGGGTGGCTCGATAAACTGGGTCCATCCTGGGCGAGGGCGCCAGCAGCAGCGCCATCGTTCGAGATCTCCCTGAAGACCGCGAGTCGATAGCAGCGACAGCAAGCGTGCGCAGCGCGTCAAGCTCCGTGACACTCGTGCCCTGAACGCTCGTACCAAACGTGACAGTGGTCTCAATCGCTGCGCGCGCCATGTGCTGCAATGTCTTCTTACGTGCACTGGCGCCCTGGAGATGCCGAAGCCGCTGCAGCTTTGACTTGGCAGCGGGAATGCGTGCAGCACGAGTGCGTCGCCGTGTCGTTCGGGCTGCCGAAAAATCAACGCCTAGGCTGCGCTCGGAGTGCACTGCGAGGGCCTTGACACTGACCAATCGTCGCTGCAAGGCTGCCTGCAGTGGATCTGAATTAGAAAGAACACGAGACTTGTCCAGTGCAGTGACCATGTCAACGCGAACTCCTCCTTCAACATGACCCCCGCTGCTGCTAGCTCATCTGCAACCCGATTGCATCCTCCACACCTCTGCAAACTAAGGCCATCGACGCACACGGCTAACGTCACTGATGGATGCTCCTTTCGCACCTCGTCGAGGGGGCCAATGAGCATTAACTGTAAGAGGCACGTCGCAAACAGGCAGCCAGGCAGGATGGTCTGGTCGACCTGCATCTGCTCCTTGCAGAGGCCTTGCAACTCCAAGACCCTGGGAGCACGATACGCCATCACTAGAGGCTTCAGCTGCCAGAGGGGGAATTGTGTTTTCTGCGCTGCTTGTCTTAAATGCTCATGGCGAACGAGCTCGAAAGCTTTCTTAAGGTCTAAGAGCAACGTAGCCGAGCTAGAACCCATGTCGATATGATATTCCGTCCAAGCCGCTTGAAGCAACCCAGATAACTCAGCCGATTTACCTCTGATAGCCCACCAGAAGTATATATAGTTAGATTGCTGCCAAGCCTGCAACAGTCCTCGACGTAAACGGCCTTGTACCCTGCACAGGCAATTCATCAATCCCAATGGCCTGGCGCCGCCGAGCCTCTTAAGGATGAACACGATCCTCGTGGTCATCGGCGGCCACTCGAGCTGGTGCTCGATCATGGAAATCAGCTGGCACAGGATCAAACGAGCTTCGTCAGGGAGTCTTAAAAGCTGCCTGGGCGGCAGGTGATCAGAGCCACTCCCTGTCCCCTCAGGGAACGTCTGGAGAACTTTCTTGGTGTGGTCCAGGGAGGGGGGACGCGGGCGCTCCCCAATGTCCGAGGACCACGAAAGCGGGGTTTGCCTTTCTCCAACACGCCACCATTTCGCCCACTCAGCCTGCATAATATCGACCTCCTGCATAGAGTTGGCGGGGGCATACTGCCCTAGCGAAGAATACTGCCATGCATTAGGCAGCTTGGTGCACTTCAACAGAGCAGCCGAATCATTGACAGAGTGCTTCTTGACCCACTGCTCCCATCCTGCTGTCTTTCTTGTTGCAGCTGCTCGCATCACAGACAGGGCTCGCACATTGGCCATGTCGGCCAGCAGGGCCGCGAGAGAGTAGCACATGTCGGGGTGCAAGAGATAGTCAAGCATCACACAGAAATGCTCCATGCAGCTAGACTGGACGTGCGGCGAGGCCTGCAACTTCCTCGCAGCGCGGGCTAGCTGTCTAGACCTGTTGACTCCCACTGGTTGTGCCACGGCCTGAAAGATTTGCGAGACATTACGCCACCAGATGGCAGCATCACTGACACGCGGGAAAGCGGGTGGCCCTGGGCGCCCAGGGGAAACCCAACGAAATTGAACAGGCCCACGGCGCCCGCAATAACCAGAGGCAAGGCCAGGGTCGACCTGGTAAACCTCGAGCAGCTCCAACTCGGCCGCAGAAACAAACTGGTCCCAAGACTCAGCCACATTACCAGACTCGACGGCTCTGCGACAGGGCTCCTATCGAAACTGGTCAGGAGGCTGTCGGGGTCCTGCGGGCACGACGACGGGAAACCTCGTGGGGTCCTTGGCCATTCTGACTCGCACAACCTTGCGGGGGGTCTCCAGGGTCAGCTTGACGGGGCAACGCGGCGAGACGGGGACGGCGTAGTCCACGGCCGCCGCAGCCAAGGTAGCCAGCTCACGACTGACCACAAAGAAATCAATCACCCGATCAGCTGGTCGACACGTCCCAGCTTCTGTAGAAACAATAACCCCATCGATAGCAGAAACCCAACCACTATAATCAAGCACCTCTGGCTCCAGGTTGAAGTCCCCCGCGGGAACAGAGGGCAGCCCCGTTGACCTCAGGAAACCTCCAAGACGACAGAGGATGGCCCAATTTTGGGCCGCTAAACCAAAACTGCGATGCCTGTACACACTGGCAACCAGGACTCCTCCAGGAAGAATGCCTCCGAAGTGCAGGATCCCAACGCGGCCTGGCTCCAAGACGTCCGAAGTCCCATGGACCTGGGAGAGACTCATATGCTTGGGCGTGGACATGACAAGCCCACCTGATGAGCCCCCGCGCCCTGTGAACACAGCTGGGAAACAGCGGGCTCGCCGACCCTGTGCTCGAAGCTGCGCCTCGAGAGCATCGGTGTCGGTAACATGCGTCTCCTGGACTGCCAGCACATCAGCACTGGCGAGGGGGGAGGAGAGGAAAATGTCAAGCCCTGACCGCTCTGTAACATTGCACGTGACGAAAGTCCAGGCGCGGGGCTCAGCAGGCCCACGGCGGATGCTAAACCTCCTGCACCTTGGGCTTCTTGGCCCTGGACAGGGCATCCTGCAGGGCTGCCTCCACAGCCTTGCGCGTGAGGGCCTGCGCAGGTTGGTCCCGGTCGCAGGCCTCAGGCTGCGCAGCCTTGGCCACGAGGTCGTCGATCCACTGGCCGTCCAGGTCCTCGAAGCGGATGGGGTCCAGGGCAACGTCGGGCTTGTCCGCAGCACACGCACCCGAAACGCCATGACCCTGGTCATGAACATGAACAGCATCACCGCCATCGGCACGACGAGCCGCCTCGGCTGCCTCAGCTTCAGCTGCTTCGCGCCGGGCCCTCTGCTGCATGGCGGCGTCACGCTGCGCGATGATGAGCTTGTCAAAGTCGTCGAGCACACCAGCGTTGATGCCGAGGTCGGCGAGCTGCCCACGGAGCGCCGCCGCTGGATCACCCGCTGTGGGGCTAGCAGGCTGCTGGCCTGACAATGCCGAGAAGGCTGACGCAGCCCGCTTGGCGGCGTCGCGCTCTTGGGCACGCAAGGCTTTGTACCCGGCCTGGAGCTTATGCACCCGCTGCACTTGCAAGCGCAGATGGCTCCTTGCCCGCTCGAGGGCGGACTCGGCCTTCTGCACCTTCGCCTTGAGGGAGTCGTGCTCGATCTTGGCCTCCTTCGAGACCGCCATGGGATCACCGTTGCGCACAGCACGCCGAGACACAACCTTGGACCGAACAGCAGCAGGAATGAGACTAGACAAAGCTGCAAACTGAACCTCATCCATGACAACGAATGCATTGAGCTGGCTGTCATCGAACACCACTGTGGTGCTGGTTGAGCCACTGCCGCCTCCGCTTCCGCCGCCGTCCCCGCTGCTTCGGGGGGCCCTGCGCCCAAGCACCGCGGGGCGGCGGCGCCACAGCGTCGCTGGGGGCAGGGGGGCGGTCGGCTCCATAGCAGTAGCACGTCTTCCTCCACGGGAAATTGTTCGCGAACTTGCAACGCTTGACGGGACATGTCCACGTTTGCGCCCACGGCGCACGGACAAATCCTCCAGCGCTGCGACCATTGCCTTTCATGACAAAGTAAATAAGAGTGGATGTACGTTACACGAAGTTTGAAAGTGAAAGCGCTAAAAGAGGATGGGGCCGGAACTCCCCACGCCACAATAACTCCAAGCCTGAGCCACACGCTACGGACTTGAGCCAAAGTGGCTTGAGCCAAAATGGCTACGGACCCCTCCCCCCCCTCTTCCTCCTTCTCCTTCTCCTCCTCCTCCTCCTTCCTCCTCCTCCTCCTCCTCCTCCTCCTCCTCCTCCTCCTCCTCCTCCTCCTCCTCCTCCCCCTCCTCGCCCTCCCCTCCTCGGGTCGCCTACGGCCCCGAGGGAAGCCGTCCACCCTGGCAGCGCCTCTGGCGCCTCTGGCGCCTCTCCTGGCGCGTTCGGTCCCAACGCCGATCCAAGAAATCTCGCGCAGGTCGTCGAAAGCTGCTGCGTGTGCCGATTGTCCCTCCTCCGGAGGAGGCAGCTCAGGTCGGGGGAGGCGCCAGCGGCCCAAGACAGGCGATTGAGCCCCGAGGATGAGGCTCGGGCGGCCGGCTGCGCCGCAGACGACGGCGACGACGACGAGGACTTGAGCCCCTGGGACGCAAGCCGACGTAAGATGGCCTACTTGAACCAGGACGCGGATCTAAGGTTCTCGCGCAAGGGCGCGACTCAGAACTCGGGCAAGTCCCCTGTCGAACTCGAGGAGGAGCGCCTGAGGGCCCTGCACAAGAAGCTGGAGGTCGAGACGATGAAGATACAGGCCGTGCAGCGGAGTGGGGTTTCGAGGAAGCCAGGGGATACCGTGAGGAATGCCGACAAGTTGAGCAAATTGCAGGCTAAGCAGGCCGCATTTTCCAAGCAAGCCGACCAGAAAAAGGATGAAAACGAGCAGGAAGAGGCCAGGCTGAAGAATGGTCGCAGCTCAACGCAGTTGACCGAAAAAGAAAAGAGGAAGCTGAAGGTGTTGAGGGAGCAGCGACGCATCTTGGACACTGCGATGAAGGATGTCGAGGAAAAAAACTTGGAGGCGCAGCGCAAGCAAGCTGCGGTGCAGCTGCAGGCAGCAGCGCGCGGCATGTCTGCGCGGAAGCAGGTCGCGAAGCGCAGGCAGGAGGTGGAGAAGGGGGGTCGCGAGACCAAGGCGCTCTGGGAGGCGGTGTTTGACGAGGAGGTAGAAGCGGCCATAAAGGTCGTGAAGGGGCCAGCTTTCTCCAAAATCAACGGCAAGGACCAGAGGGGCTGTACCGCATTGCATATAGCGGCCGAGGCGGACAGCCTGGAGAAGGTGTGTGCGGCCATCCTCGGGCACGCGCAGTTTTCGGAGCACGCTGCGCAGGACAACTTTGGCTTCACAGCCCTTCACAGGGCCGCTCGGGCCGACCAACTGGGCTCCTGCAAGGTGCTGTGCACGGACAAGAAGTACCGCTGCCAAGCATTCGGACTGAAGAGCCACAGTGGTTACACCCCGCTGCACTCCGCCGCCATGCACGGACACGACGAGGTCGTCAAGTACCTTCTGTCGATTCCGGTTGACCCAGCATCCCGCGATGAGTTTGGGCGGACGTGTTTGCATATCGCAGCGGAGCATAATCACTTGGACGCATGTCTCGCGATGCTGGCTCACGAGAATTTCCCGGCTGAGTTGGTAGGAGCCAGGAACCATTGGGGGTTGCAGGCTTGCGATCTTGGCGACGAGAGCATACGTCGCCTGTTATCCGATGGTAAGGACGCCTCGTTCAACGCCAGCATCCCCACCAGGCCGAAGAGGCCCAGGAAACCCCAAAAGTTGGCATTGCGTACAAATCTCGTGATACACAGTGACAGCGGCAGCGACGCATCCGTGGACTTAGATAAGCTCATGGATGAGGTTGATCGTGACGGACCGCCACCGTCGGGAATTCCTACCCAGAACAGGGGCAAGGTCGGTTTCGCGAAGCATGCCCCTGGCGGCCTCGAGCGCGCTGCCACCAAAGCCGTCGCCGCTGGCGGACCGCGGCCATCGCCGTCAGCGGCCGCCAAGCAGGCGGTCGCACCCGGTGCCCGGGCGTCCGTCAGGACCGCTGGCACTGCCCGAAGGCAGCCTGCTGGCAGGCAGGATGCCGCCAGGGCCCCCGGGCCTGCCGCCGCAGGCCAGGGGAAGCAGGCCGCGCAGCACGCGTCTGCCAGAGGCACCGCGGCGGCGCGTCCTGCGGCCCCCGGCCTGGCGAGGAGCACGGCTTCGCCAGGGCGAGCGACGAAGGCGAGCGACCCCGCGAGTCCCCCGGGCGGCACGGGGGCGCGTGTCTCCGCAGGCGGCGGCAGGATGACAGTGGCCGCCCCTGAGAGGAAGGCCCCGAACGTGAGGCGCGCGCAGACCACGGCGGCGCGGTGAGGCAGTGGCTGCGCGCTCCCACGAGACCGACCAGTGCCGCTCTCCTTCGTGCCCTGTGGGCACCGCGCGCGCAGCCGTAGGGCTCGGCGTTTTTCCTGGCGTCGTTTCTTCTCCTGTACCTCCGGGGTCAGGCCCTCTGCGGGCGTTACCGAGTAGGACCAGGCAGGCTCGATGCATCACTGACCCTAAACAAGGGGTACCGAAAAGGTTTCAGTGTGTGTGTGTGAGTGGTGTTTGTTGCGTGCTGTGTGTGTTGTGTGCATGTTGTGAGTTGTGTGTGGTGCATGTATGTGTGTTGTGTGTATCGTGTGTGTTGTGTGTGTGTTGTGTGTTGTACGTTGTAGGTGGTGTGTGTATCGGGTGTGTGGTGTGTGTGTGATGTGTGTGATGTGCGTGGTGTGCGTGGTGTGTGGTGTGTGTGTGTGATGTGTGTGTGTGTGTGTTGTGTGTTGTGTGTGTTGTTTGTGCGTGCTTGCGTGCGTGCGTGCGCGCATCACGCGTACGCGCACGAAATAGGAAAGGGAGAGAGGAGAACCCACCAGCGGCGGACAGCCCCCCAGGCGCCCCCCACCCCCAAGCCGCCCTCGCGGCCAGGGCAGCCCCATTCTTATGGCGCGGTGGTATTTCTCCTGGGGGCCTTCCCGCCTTCCCGCTTCGGCGACTCCATCGCCGAGGCCCCCCATCGCGGGGTCCCGCAGTCCCACAGTGTGCGTGTGTGTGTGCGTGTGTGTGCGTGTGTGTGTGTGTTTGTTGTTTGTGGTGTGTTTTGTGTTTGTGTGTGATTGGTGATTGTGCGTATTCGTGTGGTTTTGTGTTTGTGTGTGATTGTGTGATTGTGTGTTTGTGTGTGTTGTGTGTTTTTGTGTGTTTGTGAGCGTTTGTGTGTGTTTGTGAGTGTTTGTTTGTGTGTGTGTTTGTGTGTATGTGTGCGTGTGCGTGTGTGTGTGTATGTGTGTGTGCGTGTGCGTGTGCGTGTGCGTGTGCGTGCGTGTGCGTGTGCGTGTGCGTGTGCGTATGCGTGCGTAAGTGAGTGGGTGAGTTTGTGTGAGTGTGTGTGTGTGGGGGGGGAGAAGGGGTTATTTTTCTGTCGGGCTCAGAAACATGTTTATTTGAGGGACAACAACAATCTGGACCTTTCTTTCCGGGGCCCTCCGTGTGGAACATCTTCAAGAAAGTCCAATTGAAGCACTAGTTGGTTGGCGGGTTGGTTGGCTTATTGGCTCGCCAATTGCCGGGTCAACAAAAATGTTACCCAGGAGGCTGATTCGTTGGTTGGCGGGTGGGTTGGTTGATTGGTTGGTTGGTTAGTTGGTTGTCTGATTGGTTGCTTGGCCGGGTCTCCGTTTGCCCACGAATGGTTGGTCGATTGGTCGTTAGGTTGGTTCGCTAGATGCCAGGTCGAATTGTTTGTTGCCAGGAGTAGTTGGTTGGTTGCTCGGGTGATTGGCTGGTTGGTGGAGCAGTTGGTTAGTTGGTTGGTTGGTGGGTTGGGTGGTTGAGTGGCCGATTGCCCATTTGCCCAGGTGGTTGGCCGGTTGGCCCCATCGATTCTCCCTCCTTTTCTCCCCGTCCTCCCTCTTCAACGCTCCGCCTCCTCCTTCCCCCCCTCTCCTGTACTTTCCTTCATTCTGCTCCCTTCCTGTACTTCTCCTCCTCCTCCTCCTCCTCCTCCTCCTCCTCTTCCTCCTCCCCCATAGCCCGGAATTAGCTGCAATGCAATGTAAGTGCAATACAAAGCAGCGCAACGCAATGCAACGCAACAGGATGCAACGCAATGCAATGCAACGCAATGCAACACAAAGCAACGCAATGCGAATGCAACGCAATACGATGCAACAGGATGCAATGCAATGCAGCGTCACACAATGCAATGCAACGCAGTGCTATGTAATACAATGTAACGCGACGCAGTGCAATGTATCGCAATGCCACACATTGTAACATAATTTGCGTCTCGTCACATGGCAGCGCCGCGGGCCGACCAAGCATTAGCCTGGCGAAAGACCCAACCATATGCAGCTGTGAATACCGCAATTATGGACATGATCTTCGCCCGCGCTCCCTATGGGGCCACGAACCGTGTGAGGGGCGTGCCGACATGCGTGGCGGGGCACACAACGCGAGCGATGACGATAGGTCTGTGTGCGAGAGACTAAGAGCGCGTGAGTCTGATTGTGGATGAGTCTGCGCGCGCGTGAGTCTACGTGCATAAATGTCGACGCCCATGTCGGCGCGCCTCTCACGAGGATCGCGCCCGCTTCCTTCCCGTTCTTCTTCTCCCTCTTTGCCCGTGCACGCCCACGTCCAAGGCTGCGGGCGCGGCGCCGCACGGAGTCCCCGCGACGCTCGCTGGTCGCCCCGAAGGGGTCCCGGCGACGCGCGCGGATCGTCCGCTGCGCGGAGCAGAGAGAGCGAGCAGGCTGGCTCCCGCCCGGGATGCGCGGCCCGAGAAAGCGGCCTCAATACGTCGAATACGACGAAAAACTTCCGGAAATTTGCAGTCGCCGCCATGCGAACTCCGCCACATGGGCCGCCATGCGAGTTCAGCCACAGGTGGAGCTCCCTTTGGGTACACGAAGCGCTGCACTGGGTGGTGGATGACGCATGCGGGCGTTCCCATTGGGGCCTTCGGTGGAGCCCCCCATGGTGCCACGAAGCTTTGTTAGGTGGAACGCCTTATGGGACCACGAAATGCTGCACTGGGTGGTGGATAACGCATGCGGGCGGTCCCACTGGAGCCTTCGGTGGAGCTTCACATGGGGCCACGAAATGCTGTGCTGGGTGGTGGATGACGCATGCGGGCGGTCCCACTGCAGCCTTCGGTAGAACTCCCTATGGGTCCACGAAATGAGGGAGGACCGGGAGGAGGAGGAAGAGGAGGAGGGGGAGGAGGAGGAAGGAAGGAAGGAAGGAATGAGGGAACGCGGAGACCGTCTCTTCAAAACGAGGACCCAACAACACAGGTCGGTTGGGAAATATCTTGGCGAAGGACCCAACCACACGCAGTTGTGAGTACCGTCGTTGCGGGTATCGCCTTCGGGGGATCTCCCCACGGGGCCATGAAGCATGCGAAGGGTGTGCCTAAGTGGGGAAGGGCCGCCATGTGGGCGCTGCCACTGGTGCTTTCGGCGGAACGCACTACGGGGCCGCGAAAAGTGTGAGGGGTGCGCCGCAGCGGGGAGGGACCGCCACTAGGACCTTCGGTGGAGCTCCTTGGTGGGCAACGAAACGGTGTAATGGGCGAGGGAAACGCACGCAGGTAATTACAGCCACAGGAGCCTTCGGTGCAGCTCCCCCTGAGGCCACGCAGCGCTGTGTTGGGTGGGGCAGCCGCTTGCAAACACGGCCGCATGCAAACACCGTTGTGTTGGTAATGGGCGGGGGGAACGCATGCGAGCACAGCCACTGGGCCTTCGGGGGAGACCCCATGAAGCCACGAAGCGCGGTGTTCGGTGGGGGAAGCGCATGCAAACCGCCACTGGGGCTTTCGGTGGAGTTCCCTATGGGGCCACGAAACGTTGTAGTGGGCGCGTGCGGGCGGTGCCACTGTGGCCTTCGGTGGCTCTCCCTATGGGGCCACGAAGCGCTGTATTGGGTGGGTGTGACGCATGCGGGCGGTGCCACTAATGCCTTCGGTGGAGCTCCCTATGGGGCCACGACGCGCTGCATTGGGCGCGGGGGACGCATGCGGGCGGTGCCAGTGGGTCCTTCGGCAGAGCTTCCCATGGAGCCACGAAGCGTTGTACTGGGTGGGGTGGCGCATGCGAGCTGCGCCATTGGGACCTTCGGTGGAGCTCCCTGTGGGGCCACGAAACGCTGTATTGCGTGGGAGGGACGCATGCGGGCGGTGCCAGTGGGGTTTTCGGCGGAGCTCCCTATAGCCACGAAGAGCTGTACTGGGCGGGGGTGACCTGCCATTGGGGCCTTCGGTGGAGCCCCCGATAGCCACGAAGAGTTGTACTGGGTGGAGACGGCGCATGAGGGCGGTTCTTCTGTGGCCTTCGGTGGAGTTCCCTATGAGGCCAGGAAACGCTGTATTGGGTTTGGGTGGCGCATGCGGGCGGTAGCACTGGGACCTTCCGTGGGGCTTCCTATGGGGCCACGAAACGCTGTATTGGACGGGGTTGACGCATGCGGGCGGTAGTGCTGGTACCTTCGGTGGAGTTCCCAATGTGGCCACGAAACGCCGTACTGGACGGGGGAGGCACATGCGAACTGCGCCACCTGGGAAATACGGTGGAGTTTCCCACGGAGCCACGAAACGCTATTCTGGGTGGGGGGGCGCATGCGAATGTGCCAATGGCACCTTCGGTGGGGCTCCCTCCGGGGCAACGGCACGCTGTAGGCGGCGGGGGAGACGCTTGCGAACTGCGCCACTGGGACCTTCGATGGAGCTCCCTCTGGGGCCACGAAACGCTGTTTTGGGCGGGGGGGCTCATGCGAACTGCGCCATTGGGACTTTCGGTGGAGCTTCCTGTGGGGCCACGAAAGGCTGTACTGGGCGGGGGGGGCGTCTGCGTTGGGACCTTCGGTGGAGCTCCCTCTGGGGGCACGAAACACCTTCGGTGGAGCTCCCAAGGGGCCACGAAACGCTGTACTGGGTGGGGGGGCGCATGCGAACTGCGTCAGTGGGACCTTCGGTGGAGCTCCCTCTGGAGCCACGAACGTTGTACTGGGCGGGGAGGAGGGGGTGGGAGGAGGATTGAAGGAAGGAGGTGAGACGCGGTGCACTGTCTCTTGGCAACGATGGTTGGGAAATTTCCCACTCCACTCGCCTCGTGGTAACGCCTTGGCGAGCGACAAAATACTATCCCATTGTATTCGTCATTTGATGGCGACGCGGGGGCTGAGAGTTATCCTGGCGAAGGACCCAACCATACGCAGTTGTGAGTACCGTCGTTGCGCGTGTCGCCTTCGGGTGATCTCCCCACGGGTCCATGAAGCATGCGAAGGGCGTGCCCAGGTGGGGCGGGGCCGCCATGTGGGCGTTGCCACTGGTGCTTTAGGCAGAACGCACTACGCGGCCGCGAAAAGTGTGAGGGGTACGCCGCAGTGGGGCGGGACCGCCACTGGGGCCTTCGGTGGAACTCCCTATGGGGCAACGAAACAGTGTAATGGGCTGGGGAAGCGCATGCAGCTACAGCCACAGGAGCCTCCGGTGCAGCTCCCCATGAAGCCACGAAGCGCTGTGCTGTGCTGGGTGG